ACTGTTCCATACTCTGTACTCTATTATTAGTATCATTACTTTACTTTATTGTTTACTTTACGAGTAGTTTTATTAAATACAGTTATGTATGCGTAGTTACGTCTACACGAGTTTGTTTGTCTGACCGCACAAAAGTTTTTCAAATAGACCATGATTTATCCATCTAACACATAGTGCCTGTAAGAAAGCGTAGCTTAAATGGAGTACGTGAAAATGATAGAATAAGGAAAATTCAAGAGAAGGGCATGAAAACTACCGCAAATGTTTTGCCGGTCGTGGCTAGTTGTAAATTAATATGAAATGCTAAATGTGTTTATTGCTATAATGAAAGGAATGTTTGATCCATTTAATTCATATTATGTTATACAGATGATAATAACTTCTGATCAGAGTATGTTACGTACTTAGAGAGAAACTAAACATTAACCTGGCCATCAGAATACCTAATTAAATATACTTTTCTTACGTTTCTACTTATAAAGATTCAAATGCACGACATTTTCGGCCGTAATCCTAATAATATCTCACGAGGTTTGTCCAACTGAGGAGATTTGGATTCGTGCTAAACACATATTTTAAGCGAGAATGTAAAACAATTTTTATATTAAACATATAATAATATACAATAAATCAAAAGAAAAAGTAAGTACGTTGGATACACTAACTAATAAAACCAATGAAAGTAACAACATATAGATAATATAGACCAATTTAGTAGCAGTAATCTTCACACGGTACAACTAAAATGTTTACGCATATACAAAATAATAAGTAAAAAATAACATAATATCTGAATTTACCTTCATAATATGACAATATCAAATGTAATAAGACGAAAAATAACATTATAACATAACATTTTGTATGTATATACATATCTACCGTTCTAAACGTTTCTAAAAGTGTTTAAGCCTAAGAACAAGAGATTGTGTTTATAGTCGCTGGGGTAAATAGGACTAATAAATTAAGTATTCTGTCCTCTGTAACTGGAGTAATGGGCCCCTGGCATGGCCAGGTGGTTAGGGCACTCGATTCGCAATCTGTGGGTCGCGGATTCGAATCCCCGTTACACCAAACATGCTCGCCCTTTCAGCCGTAGGGGCGTTTTTAATGTGATAGTCAATCCCATTATTCGTTGGTTAAAAGAGTAGCCCAAGAGTTGGCGATGGGTGGTGATGACTAGCTGCCTTCCCTCTAGTCTTACACTGCAAAATTAGGGACGGATAGCGCAGATAGCCCTCGTGTAGCTTTGCGCGAAATTCAAAAAACAAACAAACAAACAAAATGGAGTAAAGGTAATAACCAAAGCCTATAATAATCATTTTTAATTATAAGTCTAGGCTGTCACTTCCCTAATTTTTCTTTTTCAATTTGAGAGTACACGATATTAAGCTAGTCCCGCTTTGTTTTGTTTTATTATTATTATTCAGTGATTAATACATCATTTCTAGTTTATTAAAAATGTTGTGAACTTCCTGTAACGTTTGAAACAAGAAAGAAAGAACTGACAATTGATATCAAGTTCTTGTTTAATTTAGGCCTAGCTTGGCCTAATTAATCTAAGCCTAGCTTGGCCTAATTAATCTAGGCCTAGCTTGGCCTACTAGTCAGAGCGCTAGATTCGCAATCTGCTGGTTCGAATCCCGTCACCAAACATGTTCGCCCTTCAGCGGTGTTTGGTCTTAACTAGCTGCCTTCCCTCTAGTCTATCACTGCTAAATTAGGAACGGTTAGCGCAGATAGCCATCGAGTAGCTTTGCGCCAAATTCAGACTAAACAAACCTATTTAATAATAGAAATCCCGCAACGTATTAAATAGACTCTATCGTTAACAGATTTTTTTCTACCTCCTACCAGATTCACGTAGTTTTTTATACTCACGGGAACATCTATATATTTTTACGCAATATTCAAAAAGAAAAACACAACAAATTTGAAAGACACGTATTATATATATATATATATATAGAATTACATATATACGTTTAAAATAATAGTATTTCTTTTTACGTATACGGTGATTAGTACCTGATGAACCTAATAAACTTTACTTTATGTTTCTTTTATACATTTTCAATTA